TAGAGTGTGGCAAGGACAGCAGCAACTATAGGAGGCAGTGAGAAGTAGCGCATAGCGGAAGAAGGTGAGCAGCAGAGTGCATTTAGAGAAGCAGATAGTGATGAGTGTAAGAAAAGTCATGCCAAGTTAGACCAAAGATGCATCTAACCCAGTGTCCTAACTCCAGTAGGACTCACATCAGGAAAAGAAGTAGAACTTACGTACTGGAGTCATAAGGTGAATGGTCAGTGGAGTGGTAGTTCACTCACATGGTCTGAGCCTTATTGCAGAAGGATCTGTGAGGCAGGGATGTTCATGAAACCAGCTGCTGCTCCCTGCATAGGGCCATAATAGTGAAGAACAGAGACACCAAGGTGACAAGTATTGATTGCTACCCATGGAAGCAAGCAGCTGCAATGGGCAGAAGGTAGAAAATATGTTCCAGATGAAGTATTCTATTAAGATTTATAACTAAAACTACCTGATGCCCACAGCTATTCTGTTGATGCTCATTTGTACAAAACTGCTGTCAAGCAGGGTGCATTCAGGCATTGAGTACTAATATGCAAAGCCAAGTATGAAGCTGAGGTAAAATTTGAGGAAACATTCAGGACTATAAGAATAAGCAGTTCATCCAGAATCTGCAGGTCTGAATTTGTGTCATGGCTGCATCAATGAATGTCTCAAAACCAAGCCAGAAATAGTGACCTGTAGAAAGGTATCAAGAGAAGGTGATAAGCACAGGTAAGTGCATGCTGATACTTCCCAGAATACTCTCCCAGCATCCAGGAATCTACACATCCCTTCAAGGCTTTGATGGATTTTCCTGCTGTAGGTTTGTTCATTCCATTTCTGAATCTGCATGGCCTTTAGCATCCACAACTTTCTACGGCTAGTAGTTCCATAGCACAAACAGCAGAGGGGTTAAGAAGTACTTCCTTCTGCTAGTTTTAAATCTAGCCCTGATAGTCTTGCTTGCTGTTCTGTAGTTATCATATTGAAAGAGACACTGAACAATCTTTTACACTCCACTCTGTATCTTTTAAGCCACTAGTATGTTTCAGATTTAATGATCTGTTTCAGATTGAAGAATCTTACTAGTTTTCCTGGTTTGCGCTCCCTACCTCTGGTGATATTACTTGTCTTTTTTGAATATATTTTCCAATTCTACCTTATTTTTTGGGGGAAAGAAGGATCAGACCCACTCACAATTTTCATGATACCAGCGTGTCAGGGAGTTATACAGTGGAATAATCCTGTCCTCATGATTCCTAATATTCTATAGGGTTTTTTTTGACTGTTACAAAGTATTGAGATTATGTTGTCACCAAACCATTTACTAAAACCTCAAGATTTTCATCCTGCCTTGTAACAGTTAGCCCAGAGCAACAGTTCATATGTAAAGTTCAGGTTGGTTTTCCCCATGTGCATTTGTCTAGGCTGAATTTCATCTATTATTTCTTTGCCAAGTCACTCATTATCATGAGGCTTTTCTGAGACTGTCTCTCTTCTTTATTGCCTTAAATAGTTTAGTGTCATCACCATTCTTTGTCACCTCAGTATTCTCCCCCCTTTAATTCATTTATGAACACACTGAGGAGCTCAGGTCCCAGCACAGAACCCTGTGGGACTCCATTGGTTGTTTTTTTTTCTTAGTCTCTGTTTCTGATCTTCTACGCAATTCTTTATCCATCCAAGGACGTTCCCATGTTGTCTAGTTTATTTAGGAGTCTTTGAGTGAGGAACATTACTGAATGCCTTTGGGAAATACAAGTAGACCATATCAAAGGGGCATCTCTTGTCCACATTCTTAATTGCTCCTTCAGAGAAATCAAATAAATTTGTGAGGCACAATTTTTCTTTAAAAAAAACTAAAGAAACAAATCCTGTTGACTCTTTCCTATGAATATTTATCCATATGTCCATTAACTTTATTATGTAGAATAACTTCCACTGACTTGCCCAGAGGGTTGTGTGGCTCATTGGTTGGGTCTTCCTTAGGTCTCTCTGGAACTTCTGAAACAAATTTGGCATCATGTTGGCCATCCTAGTACCAAAGCAATTTTATGCAAGAAGCAGTGTACTACAGTTAGTGCTTCCCTATTTCACCTTGAGTTCCCTTAGAACTTTGGGCTGAACAGAAGTTGCTGATGGCTTATTATTAGTTTCTTATGTGTTTTGCAAGTTTCTTCCCATGCTTCTTTTTCTTTTTTCTTTTTCTTTTTCTCTTTTTCTTTTTCTTTTTCTTTTTCTTTTTCTTTTTCTTTTTCTTTTTCTTTTTCTTTTTCTTTTTCTTTTTCTTTTTTTTCTTTTTTCTTTTTCTTTTTCTTTTTCTTTTTCTTTTTGGCTTACCTTGCTGTGCTTTTTTCACTTAACACGACAGCACTTGAGTTTTTGGAAGAATGCTTTCTCACTTTAGAAGCTGAGTTTATCCTGCTTTTTAGTCATGCTGGATTTCTTCTGGTCCTTCTTAAGTCTTTCTTTATGTGTGGTACTAGTTTGTCCTGATAATCCAATAAATGGTGGCCATTCCAAGCTCTGGGAGGAAGCTGCTGATAGGGAGGGTGGCTGTAGAACAGGACAAAGAAAGAAGGGGTGCAGAGGAAGGGATTTTACTTCCAGTGACCAAGCAATTTAATGTGGCTCTATAGGAGAGAAAGAAAATGTTGCCTATATACTTCACCAATGCATTTTGGATGGACTAAGGGTCTGATATTTTGCTAAAAGGCATACAGGATGTTTACTGTAGAGCAGAAAATTGAACTCAGATCTTTAGAGTTCAGGACTGTCACACAGCCAAAGCACCAGATGGATCTCTCTTACTGGTGTAATAAGTGCCATTGCTAGGATGATCTTAGTCCCATTAGCAAGTCAGCATTTTCACTAGCACAGTGGCTTAAATAATATTACAAATGAACTATAGAGAAAGGAAAATGAAAACAGAGAGGTCAGTGCCAATGGCTTTCAAGGAGCGTGCTTCCTTCTCAAAGAGATGACTGGTTGCTGCAAGAGGCAGTTGTGGGAAAAGAGGATTAAATATGGGAAATACAAGAGAGGCAACTGGGAGATGTATGGCTTCTTTTGAGAAAGAAAACAGCAAAATGTGTGGAAGCATATGGGGAAGAAACAGGACTTAATATTTTAAAGAAGAAAGACCCGAGTCAAAACTTTCCTTCAATCTGAAGATTTAATTTTGCTAAATTCAAATAGAAGACAGACAGACATAGAATGATGGGAAGAAAATATCAACATGCTCATCTGATGAATGGCGTTTTTTCAAATGGAACTGAAGTTTTATATGTTAAATTATGGCGCATTATAAGAAGTCAGCCAATGAAAAATGTTTATCAGGAGATGTATTTGTACAGACGTGATTCCTAAATATGGTTATGCTAGGTACTGATTAAAAAGAGAGGCGCAAAACTGCATACTTTGTTTCTGCTCTGTCTTGGTTTAATCCAGCAGACAGCAACTATGACCAGACAGCCGCTCGCTCACTCCTCCCTCCCTGCAGTGAGATGGGGAGGAGAATGGACAAAAAGTAAAACCCATGGGTTGAGATAAAAACAGTTTAATAAGACAACAAAGGAAGGAATAATGAATAATAATAATAACAATAAAGAATATTAAAACCAAGTGATACAAAATACAGTTTTTCTCACTGCCCAATGACCGATTGCACAACCTGTCCTCGAGGAGCAGTTGTAGAACTTGTGGAACTCGCAGAGCCTGAGAAACTCACAGAAAAGTTCTTGCCCCCTGGCCAACCCCCATTTATGTACTGAGCATGACATCTATGGCATGGAATATTTCCATTGGCCAGCTTGGGTTAGCTGCCTGGCTGTGCTCCCCCCAGCTCCTGCACACCTGCTCATTAGCTGAACATGGGAAACTGAAAAAAGTCCTTGATTTCTTAGCAACAACTAAAAACATCATTGTATTATCAACAGTCTTCTCATACTAAATCCAAAACACAACAGCTACTGGGAAGAACATTAACTCTATCCCAGCTGAAACCAGGACATGGTCCTAGCTCAGGCACTGATTTGTTTGTAACCTATGGCATGTTACTTTGCATGTCCCAGTTATAGAAATAATTTGAAATAATACAACATGAAATGTTTTTACAGTAAATGCGTATAACAAGCTGACCTTTAGATTACTGGTGTCATAAGTCCTCAGCATATTCAGCTTTCAGTGTATGTTCTTTTTAGTTTCCTGCTTTTCAGTAGTAATTCTTTATATGAGAAAAAGCTATTTGTACCCACTTTGACTTTCATGGTCTATTTGTCTAGGAAGTGGAAACCATCAACTTTTTTTTGGATTCACAGTGGTTTTTTATGTACATTTCTGTTCATTCTGGCATAAATACTATGGGATGTACATCTACTTTTTGAAATATTTCATGGATCTACAGGTCTTTGCCTTGAGCCCCACTGAAGATTAGGGAGCACAGAGTACAGTGTGGGAACGCATAGGAGTATTTTATAATGTAATATAATAATATAATGTAATGTAATGTAATGTAATATAATATAATGTAATATAATATAATATAATAATTATATAATAACTATATTAATATTACATCATTTTATGTGCTACCAACTTTAGTGTCATGAATTTATAGTTGTAATACCCTTTAGAAGTTGCCTATATTCAAACCATCAGAAGCACAGAAAATAATTTTGCAGTACCCAGCAATTACATATTCAGTACAAGCATTACATATTCAGTTTAGTTTCCATAGTTTCCTTGCCCTGAACTTTGCAAGTATCTCCTCTACTGCTTGCTCTATGATGATTTCGTAGCAGGCCCCACGTTTGTTAAATACGGCCCTGGCCGCATGAAAGTGATAGCAGACTACTGTGAAATGTTGGGACGTTCCAGCTTTTCCCAGATAAAATGTAAGACCTTCACCTCTTTCAGTGTTCAGAATATAAGTCTCTTGAATCTATTCCAGTAATGTAAAAATAAATAAAAAATCAATACTTCCTGGAATCTAGTACAAAGTTTGGAAGAGCAGTGGAGATAAGCTTCCTGTGTGTGAAATGCTTTCACCTTTGTGAAGGCTTTCCTGTGTCATGAATTTCCAGTGAAAAGATTAGCAGGAACTTGTATAATGTTCTGAATGAAATGGAGTAGATCCCTTTCCCTTTCCTCATTTCACATGCCACACTAATGGACTGTGCTGTTTTGCATAATGAAGACAATTGATAATATGGGGGTTGGAGGCAGGGAAAGGACAGTTGTGTGGCCTTAAAGCTCTGGGAGAGTACCTACTGCTTCTGACAGGCAGAACACATGAGGGCGTTATTTTTTCTCCAAAGCTTCTGACACAAGTGTCTTGGATTAGATAGACAGTGAAGCTATTGTAGTATAGAAACTTTTAAATGGAAGAAAAGGGATGCTGTTGAAACACATGAATGCACAGAATACAACAGGTAACATAATGACCATGAATTGAAAAGGATTTTGCTGCTTGCTTTTTGGATAAGCTCCCAACAGAAAAAACTAATATTTAGTCTTGTCTATGGCTATCTATCAGGAAATTGTGTTGCGTCATTTGTCTGCTGCTTCCAGGTGCTTAAAAAAGCTCAGTGGTTGCTTCCACTGAAACTTGAGTGCTGTCCAAATGTTAAAATCAGTTTCT